TACAAGCCTATTGATCTGTCAGTTGAACTTTCTATTCCCGAACTTACTTAAGCATCGGAGAGCCTTCGGCCGGTACCACACCGGTGCCCTAGGTCTTACCGTGCGTTTGCTCATATTGCAGATCACGATTGACTACCGAGGCATCAAGGATACCGAAGGCATAAAATTACTAAGTTGACCCTCAGAGTCAGAGAACCACTTTTTGGCGTCAACAACATTAAAAACCATCAATATCACAAAAAATGTTAAGAACGCAAAGTAACAATTTCGCGAAGCTCATGGATGCTTCGTGATTAAAATCCCTTCTATGAATTTACTATCTAGGCTTGACACAGGTGATGAAACGGGAAAATAACTGTAAGAAGAAAATGACCCGACGGTGTAGGTCTAGGATGGGTCCACCACGTTATGGGAGATGTCGAAGAAGGCGCACGAAGGACACACGTGAAAACAATTCCCCTTTTAACAATCTCCGTCTCTTTTGCCTTTTCGCGTTTTCAGCCATCGGTCTCACGGATCATCACCATCATCATCACATTCACAAGAGACACAGCCAGCCAGCCCCCCTTTACACTTCCTTCTCTCTTTCTCTCTCTCTCTCTCCTCTTAGTCTTTGTGGCTTTTTGGGTCTGAAAAAAAGAAGACAAGGCTTTGATCAATCATACGCTTATTAGTATTGCAAGTACGTCGATTTGAATTATTATTTTTCTTTTTCTATTTAATATCAATGATGATTGCTCTTTACACGCTAATCAATTACTTTGTAATCTTCAAATAATTGCACTCACTAATAATCATAATAAATATATTTCTATATTTCTCTCTCTACCACTTTCTTTGGGAAAAGAAAGAAGCTGGTTTTGTGAATTGTGGTGCAGTTTTATATGTGTAAAAGCTGGGTTCTTGTTTCTAGGCTGTCTTGAGCTTTTGGGTAAATTTCTACTCTTTTTTCACAACCTTTTTTCTTCAAACAATCTTGTTTAATTGGGCTTTTTTTTATCAGCTGTTCAACTTTGACTTTCTGGTGAGACTTTTTTATTTCTTCTGTTTTTGGTCTAACTTTCAAATACCAACAAAGAGCTTGACTTTCAAGAATGGTTCCTCTTCTTCTTTTCATCAAAATGAGACTTTAGAAACTCAAAACTATCTGTATTTGGTTTTTTCATGAAAGGTAATTGACAAATACTCGCATAAATTTTCTAATCGAAGTCTTTTTTCTAGAAGAACCAAATTCATTCAAAGCAAGAGACCCAGAAGGCAGCCACAACTTTCAACTGAAACAAAGAAAAAGAAATTCAAAGTACGACCCTCAAAGTGTCTCCCCTTGAAAGGGAATGAACTGGTTTTGTTGAAGAAGGCAAAGGAGTTGCAGATTGAGATCTCAAAAACACAGGGACTGTGACTGGTGCACGTATATATAATATATCAGGCAAGATGGGTTCTTTCCCAGGTCATGCTCTGCCAGGGACGTTGTTTTTTGTAGTTGGGGTATGGCACGTATGCAGCTCGTTGGTGAGATATGTATCCAACCCCAAGTCTTTCCGAGTTCGGGTATGGAGTCCTGTGCCGGGTTTTGATGGGAGGCTCAAGTATTTGGAGCTTTATATTATAGCTATTGGTACTTTCATTGATTTGTGTATCGAGCTTTTGTATTCGACCCATCTCAAGTTCTTTGTCAATGGAGTCTTGAACCCTTCTCACATGAATGATTTTGAGCACTCTGGAATGCTTCTTATGTTCTTTATCTTTGGCGTTGTCAGTCTGCTCTCAGAGAAGACAAGGTATGCTTGTAGTCAATTGATTCATCATGTTAATTTCCTTTTTCATTATCTTTTATGTCGTGCTGTGTAACAATCTGTTTAATTCTTGGGAAAGTTATAGGATACAGAAAGAGATAAAATTATGGACTGTTAGATCTTTAGTACTTGAGACCAGTGTTTTAAAACGTTTAGGCGTAAAAGGAGGCGTTTGATCGAGAGCCTTGCGTTGAAAGGCGCCCCTATTAAATCACTGCTTGAGACTGATGAAGTAAATGTTTCAGTCAATTGAGAGCATTACATTTTTTATTTACTCAAGTGGATGTTTTCACTGCACCAAAAACAAATTAACAAAAATGACACACATCCAAAAGCTTTTTTTTTTTGTTTCAGGTTGGAGGCATTTGTATCTGTGTTTCTTCTGTTTCTTTGGTGTTGTAAAGATTTTAATTGATGGTAATTATAGAAACTTACTAAGCAAAACTGTTGAAATAATAGTACTTGCACATGTAGATTGCTGTGGCACCTGGTGTATATTAGGTGGGAAGAATAATTTGCAATTAGATATTCCAGAATCCAGTGCAAGTGAATAGGGCATGGGGTGGTTTACATTGAGTACGGCCTAAGCTTCCTTCAGGCATCCTCCATCTGTGTCATCTGTTCTTTTGTCTCTAGGTTGTTTTCATTTAGTGGTTTTATTATCGTGTTGATATTGGTTTGACATTATTTATCATGATTATTACTGGTTTTCTAGTGAATCTGTATACTGAAACTAAGAAGATAACAAATTAATAATTTCCCCATTTAGGACATCAGTAAAACTTGGGCTTTCGCTCTGTTCTGGGCAACTCAACAGTTTGGCTTGTTGTGCAGAGTGTTTGTGATGTAGTACAGCCCGTAGGTGTTAAATTAATCACTTAATAATCGAACTGAGAAGAATATAAGAGATCGAGGAGAAGAAATATAGATCGAAAAGACGAGACAAAGGGCAGAAACAGTATAACAAAGAAGAATATCGGAGGTCGAGGGGAAGAAAATATAGACCGAAGGGACGAAATCAGAGAGTTCTAGGAAAAGGTTTACTCAACATTCAAATCTGAATTTTAAAAAACTACATGGGGGTATTTATAGCAAACTAAAACCTGGACATAATACGATAAAAATCCCTTGCTTAAACAGAAATCCTAACCCAAATAAAATAGGAAGCTTAAAACTAGAAATCTGGAAATCTGGAAAAGTAGAAATCCTACTAGAATTTGGAAAACTAGAGAATCTAGGAAACTAACAAATACATTAGGAAACTAATAAATTTAGGTCCTACGCATCCTGCATCAGTTTGGTATTAGTCAACCCAGTTTTTAAGAGTCAATGAAATTGCAATTTGTTATTTTATTTCTGTTCTGTGATAGCCTTAAATATTGTATATCCGGAAGCAAATGGATGTCAGCAAGACCCTCCTTTCAAACAGCACACCCTCTCCCCATCACCACTTCCCTTCCTCCCCTAAAACCTTTGAACCCCGCAGTAGATTTCCCTTCTTTATCCTGGTCCCCCCTCCCCAGGAAAAGAGGCACAGCTTCTTGACTTGAGAAATACTAGTCTTAGAGGTAACAAAACCTTTTATTCCTCTAAGCTTGTTAATGGGGTACAAATTTGAGGGGTTATCCTCAACCATGGTGGTGTCCCTTCATCCAATGAGGTCCAAGAGATCTCAAGTCTGCAGCCTCCTTATTCTGTGGATTCTAATAATTCCTTAGCCCAAGAAATATCTGGTAGGGCCCCTACATTTACGGAACCTAGGCACTAAACAAGTCAGCTAAGAGGTATACATTTATGGCCTACTCAAGTCAGCTCTAGTCATGGAGGAGCAAACTTCCAACCAGCTCCATTGTTTGACCATGGAGGAAGAGTAGATAATTGTTTGAACTTTTATCAGCTCTCAAGATGACAGATTGACTCCTTTGCAGCCCATACAACCTGGTACTACCCATTTTGTACATGTGCATGCTGACGTTGGAGGGGCTTCTTCTACTTCCAATTTTGAGCCAGGCCTGCTGACTTGTGACAGACCCCCCTGATGCCTTCCCTTTTGCTGAAACACAGTAGCTTCTAGATGCTACACATCAACCAAAAACCATTCTTTTTTATTTTGTGTTGCTACAGAAAAGAAGTCAATTTTCCTTTGGAGGAGTCTTCAATGACAATGCATTTGAACCTCCACCTCCCCTCTAGAGGTCAGAAAGTGGTGACACAACCTCAGCAAGTGGTGGAAGAAGGCAGCATGGTCCCAAACTTCAGGGGACTAGCTCTTATGCTCAGAATTTTGAGCCATTTTCTTAACCATCTGAAATTTATGGTCTGGTCCTTCTAACTTTGCCTTTGCTACTGTTTAAGTTCCTCCCTTTGATAGGTGAGGTAAGGGCTCTTACTCCTGTTTTTCCTACCCAAGTTGACATTCATGTCACCAGTACCTGTCAAGCCCTTGCGTGTTGAAGATGAAATAACAATGATTCTGACCATTTGAATAATCTACTTGTCCTAGTAAACTCAAAATAAAAGCATTGATGGGATGTCAATGATCTAGTCTGCTAGTTCATCTAGCAAAAAGAGCAAATAGAAGTAGAATAGGGTTGCGGGTTAGGGCATCAAAATGTTAGTGCTTGTGCAACTTCTGTCTTTCTTTCCATGATCCAATTTTCTTGTGGGAACATTATACGAAGTTCCAGTCTTGGAATACTAAGGCTTAAGGCACCTCCAATTCTGAGTTTCTATAAGCTCATGCCTATTGAGCAGGACCTGAAGAAGCCCAATAGAACCGAAGTCCATGATAATTCGCAGCAGCCTGCAGAATGCAGATTAAATCCATTTCTGCAAAAATATCTCAGAATTACTTGTGAAACTAATTAAATCCAAGTACTTATGAAAACTGATTAAATTTTTATTGGGGTTTTCTTGAGTTCTGACTAGTTAGTATGCAGACCTGAAAATTAAATTATGAGATGGCGGCAGCAACTTCATCAATCTTCTCCTCTGACTCAGTTCATTTATTGCTGCACAGTATATAGGGTTCATGTAGTTTAAACACCTCATTAGATGGTTCAGGATGTTCTCATTGCCACATAGGCCTTAAGCCTTTTGTTGTTGGATTCCCTTTTCTTATTTGATTTGTAGTTGGAATTTTAACATTAGAGACTACAGTTAAACATGGATAGGTGGTGAAAGCTATTTTCGCATTGTTATGGGTGCTTCAACAATATTGCAGTACTCATCCGATCATAACCCCCAATTGTTAATTAAGTGCTAATTTATTCATCCATCACTTCATCTGAGCAATAGCCTCTGTTTTTTTTTTTTTTTTGGCCTGTTGTGTATGTGATAACCTTGTAAGTATGTCTAATTCTTTTTTTCTTTTAATTTCTTGCATTTAGATTTCTTCCGTTGCCTGAAGGAGCTCTTTGTCTGATTGCTGCCACAGCATTCTGTGCAGAGTATCTTCTGTTCTACTTTCACTCAACAACTCATAAAGGCCTCGAGGGTTATTACCACATCCTCCTTGTCCTTCTAATTGGGCTCTGCATATTATCGACTGTTGCTGGAGCCCTCTTACCAACCAGCTTTCCAATTGATTTATGTAGCGGTATTGCCATGACTCTACAAGGCCTCTGGTTTTATCAGACTGCATTCACTCTCTATGGCCCCATGATGCCAGATGGTTGTCTTCTTAAGGATGATATGATCTCATGTCATCCTGTGGACAATGAGGTCCGGGGTGAGTTGCTTGCAAACTTCCAGTTCTTTGTCATGGTTCTTGGTGTACTTATTGCAGTAGTGGGAGGATATGGTTTTGTTGCTTCAAGATTTGGGCATTCTGATCTAAAGAGCTTGCGTGCGGTATAGGATGTATTGGTTGAAGATCGAAATAGGTGTACGCTAGCTTATCCTTGTTGTATATATTTTTGTTGCAATGTTGGCAGTGGAATAAGTTGAAATAACCCAAAAACAAAAAGGGTTGAAAAGCATTCCTGGGGTAGCAAGATTTCTCTTTTGATGAAACCTGTTTTTTTTCTTGGGGGGGTAAATAAAATGTCACTGTTCTAGCATGATGATGTTTTCTTTTTGGAGAAAGTTTAAGAAAGATTGGAACTCAAGGGAAAACCATCAAGAAACGTTTGAATTAATTTTTAGGTAAAACTATCTCTGTTTGTCTTCAAATCTGCATGCAACCAGTGCTGACAAAATTACTTATGTGATTTTACAGGTTTCTAATGCATATCTGCCAAAACAAAAAACAAAAAAAAACTAATGCTTACGGGAGGAAAAAGCTCAAATATGGATTTAGAGTTTGAGGGTCATCAAATATGTGGATTTAGAGTTTGGCATTCATAACATCAAAGATACAAATATAAATTTTTGTCAAATAATGTAGATGCCTTTGCTCAAAGTCATGTTTCTCTCAGTTTGGGCCAAAATTGACTTGGACAAATTCGATAGCTTTAAAAAGAAAGAAATTGAGATTGGGGCACAGAAAATCAAGGAGGAAGCAAGACGTACAATCTCTCTCAAACAGATTTGATCAACTTGATTTCAAGTTTCTCAATAACCTTCTTGCTTTCACTTCTTCATTTCCAGTCGACAACTTCTAAGAAATTTTTTGTTCGTTTGCTCTGCTTCTTCTTTGGGTTGGTATGATTTCCAGTTGACATTCAATTCAAACTGTGATTATCTAAAGTTCCATTGCATTTTTAGTTTAGGTAGTCCGATTCGAGCTTGGCTCAGTCCTTTTGCTTCTCTTTTACTTGTATTTCAATCTCATCGGATTTGTTTCCTTTTGCTTCTCTATGCTGATTATAGTTCTAGCCAAGGTCTAAAATATTAGTGATATCGGAAATATCGGTAGGCCAAAAACACGGAAATTTCGATGGAAATATCGGGATATTATCGATATCGATAAAAATTGAATAAAAACCACGGAAATTGTAAGAAAAATTTGGAAATTTTTATTGAAACTTTGTAGGATGTTTATTTAGGCAATTATCTATTAGTTTATCATAAAAAATTAGAAGGAAATGCATTACATGATGGATTTAACTGATTTAAGTTGATTATATAGCGAGCTGGCAAACACTGTGAGTGTAGAAAATATGTAGTAATTAATGAAAAAAGATTAAACACACCATAATCATTTATATATAATGAATTACTACAATATTAGTTGAAAACGTGGTGATTAGTTGAAAAGTAGAGACTTGCAAAAGGAAAGGTCAAAAGAATTCAAAACAATTTGTTTCTTGCAAAAAAAAATCACAACAAAACCATGTATATATATAAATATTTTAGCATATTTTCACAAAAACATAAGTGATATGGTGGTTAAGGTGTTGAAGGAGTAAAATGGAAGGGGTTCGAATCCCCTTGGTGTCTTTTTTAATTTAGAAATTTATCATATATAATAAATATTAGCTTACAAACATTTTAAAGACGTTATAAATATTACACGCCGAAAATATAATCACAAACACTTACGCAGTTGAGTTGGATAAGGCGCTGGGCTGTTTCTCATAGAGGCAAGGTTCTAATCCCTCCATGCGCAACAAGGATAATTTTCAGCATTTTTCAAGTATTTTTGGGTCAAAATATTTCGATAATATCGAGATATTATCATCGTTTTGTGTTGACGTTGCTCGATAATATCGGGAGCGATATTTTCGGCGACAATTTCGATATTTTGACGAAATATACTTGGGTTGTTCCCAGAATATCGGTTTGCAAAAAAAACGATATTATCGCCGATATTTCGGCGATAATGATTTTTTAGACACTGGTTCTAGCACTTTGTTTCGTTGAGCTTTCTGTCACACAAGTGGAATATTGAAGTCCTTAATTGGGGTGAACAACCATATTACAAATTTTCCGAAAAAACAAAGTTATATTTATAATTTGCCACCTTAATTAAAACTTTTCTTCTTCCTTTTTCTTTGAGAGGAATTAAAACATTTCTTATAATCAAGGTTTTTAACTCAAATAGTCCCCAACTAAATTATTTGTTTAAATGGTCCACACACTCTTTATTATTCGGCGAATTGGTCCCACCGTTACATTTTCTGAGTTTTAGTCATGTGAACGGCACGTATGTGTATAGGAAGGGTATATGCCTCCTTTTCTTAGCTCAAGGGGCTTTGACAGCAACATGAGAGGTTCGAATGCAACATTAGAGATTTTGGGTTAGGGTTCGTATTTGGGGATTTGGGAGATTTTCGAGATTTCGATAATTTTGGCTGCTCATGACTGATGGAGTTCAAGTTCCACTCGGGTGGAGAGAGTCCTAAATAAAGTAAGGGATTCTCTGTATGCATTTTATTGTTTTCTATATATTTGCTTCTTTGCATTTGCATTATTATGGTGCAACCCAAAAGAAGTAATCAGTGTCTCCACCATGCTGAACAAGTGTTCGACTGGGAAAGATAACAAAATCCCCTTCGGTACTTCTAAGTTTCATTAGCTGCTCAGCACTTAAAATACTTCTTCCAATTAACTTCATTCTCTTAAAAGAATCCAATTAATAAAGGGATGGAGAATGAAAATCATGCCAGGATGAATCTGAATCACAGAACAAAAAGCAAACTGACCATAGACCACACACTTGCAAACAAAACTGAAGCAACCAATTGTCCTTAGCTTAATACTTCTAATAAGCAACCCAACTGAAGCAAAGAACCGTGAGACATTGCAGCCTTTATCCATTTTGTGTAGTTCTGCATATGGAGTTTCAAATTTGGGGAAGATGAGAAAGAAAGTGGAGAAAAAATGGCACCTTGCTCGTTTAAGAGCAGACTTGTAGACAGTTTTATCCCTACATTTGACGGCAACATTAACAGAATGTAACGATGGGACCAACTCGCTGAATAATAAAGAGTATATGAACCATTTTAATAAATAATTTAATTACGAGACCAAAATGCAAATCGTGCATAAATTTAGGACCATTTGAGTTAAAAACCCAATAATCTATCACCTTTCACTAACTTAGTTCATTTTAGCGTTCAAAAAGTTGCTTGTGCTTCGCACGATACCCTTTCAATGCATGTGTATCAATATTTCAAACGTTAAAATATCCTCCAACAGAGTCACATGCAAATCACACAGCCTTTTTTGAACGAAACAAATATACAGTTTTATAGATGGCACGTTATAACAAAATCTTAATTGAAGTAGCAAATTTACTCAAATATTTTGTTTCCGTTCATATGGGAAATTGCAACAAAGCATATAAATTTTCCAAGTCCTGCCTAGGTGACTCATAACTTGCGAATTTCAATTACCCTAAAACTGCATAAAATACTACAATTCCGAAGGCTACTCTAGGTGATTCATTTTTTCGTAGCCTACACAGACTGCTTATGATAGTCAAACAAAACTGATTAAAACAGCATATCGCTTCAAACAATCTAGAATTTAGATTTTATTTCCAAACCAGTTTCACACTTGAGAGAATGAGCTACCACTATTTTACATAAAACCAACAAAATCAAATGCAGCACCCACATTGCATTTCCATATGATAAACCAGCTGGGTAAAGTTTCGGCTGACTGACTTCAGCCAAATTAGCTTACAGCCGCTCATGCAAAGAACAAGGGCTGCCCAATTGCTTTACACAGTATTTCAAATCCCAAATAAATTAGTAGAGAGCAAATATTTAATCTAAGGCACACATCATATGCACAAAAAGTATTTATAGCACGCAACATTGGATACTGTGAAGATGAGTACAATTTATTTAATTTAAATATGCATTCCATGGGATATGCAAACCCTGTTTAGTAAGGAACAATGATGGATTCTATAAGCTCTTGAAGTGGAGCTAGCTCCTTCTTGTCAATTAGCCCAAATTCCTGCAAAAACAAACACAGTATAGTGGGATCAGCAACCGACTTTACCATTCAAGCAAGAACTTTGTACATCAAGTAAGATTTCATGCTGATAAATTAATGTTTAAACACTTCATGCATTTTTTTGTTGTTGTATATTTTCAAACATCACTGAGCTTTTCTTTCATGCACTTGACCGCATACTGCTTTGGTTAGGGGGTTTAAAAGCAAAAAGTTCAATGACGTACTTCGTACTACATATTTGCATCTAGACACTTCACCCAACACTCATGAACTACCCTTCTTATTTGCAGAAATATCATGATTCTAATAATTAGCAATATCTTCTCTCATGATTGTTCATGTTCCTATTCATGGAATCTAGTTATAATCTGATAATAATAGGGCCATGCCATGTGTTTGGACAACTAACAATCTGTACTGCTTTACCGGGAATTGACTTCAATGTTTGAGTACTTCATATTTTCATCAACCAGACAAAGAAGAATAGAAGTAACTCTGTGCTTTCTCGCACTAGCATCAAATATGGCAAATACAATCACACTACTCATAGTCCAATAGAAATGACTTCCTATCAGCCGATACACCGATATATCGCTATTTTCAGGTGTCGACAATGATAGAGGGGGTAAGTCTATTTCTTCCCTCCTTAGGCGATATATCTCCGATACTTGGGATATCTTCAATATTTTCCAATTTTTGCCGATATTTCCCTGATACTTGCGCATTGTCAAGGCATACGCGAATGCGTGATTTCACGCTAAATCAAAAGAGGCTTACGCCTCTGGAGCCATTTTTTGAATGGTTTTGAACTAAATCTGGCAATTTTGAACTCAAGTCCGGTGGTTTTGGAATGAAAAAAGAAGACAGGAAAACAGAGGAGTGACGAAGAAGATGATGCCTCGGAAACTCTTTAATATATTAAGATACTAACTTTAACGTTGGGCCAAGCCCAAACAAACTCCTTTTTTTGAAGGAAAGCCCAAACAAACTCTTAATATCCTTGTGCCTAAAACTACTTAGAAAATCAGCAAAAATAAGCCCAGAAATCAATTAATTAATTTAAAATTTTACATCTATTTTTGTATATTTCATATGTTTCTATATTTTATGTATAATAATTAAAATAATAGGCCTTTGGTGTGTTAATGGGTTGTACTTAACATCCATGAAAGCTTTACTCTAAACTTCTGTGTTTTAATGCCAATATCTATCTTTTTTGTCGATTTTTCGCTATACTTAAACGATATCAATATATCCCCCGAAATATCCGTAAATTGGAGGCCCAATATTATATGCATGGCCGCTATTTTCATCCTTGCTTCCTACTATGTTTTTGGGGAATTACATAGTACCAAAGTTTCATAAAAGTAGGCATTTCAAACTGTATGAAACTTTCCACATGCTTTTTGGAAACAGCAGAAGCATAAGAACGTACAAAGAGTGTCCCAAGATATGGCTACTAAATCAGATATATTTAATGAAGCACAAAAAGAAGATTAGTTATACTGATACACTGAATTTCAAGAGCAGTAAATTTCTTTTGCAGCTTGTGGCAGTTATGGTATTCCGTCGGCTGTTTTAGTAACCTTAATGTTGTCAGAGATGGCAGGTTGTGGCTGGTGGAATTAAGAGGACTCGAGCTACAGATGATTTCCTTATGTGTATTCAACCTGCTGAGTTGGAGACTTGAGGTACACAGGGCTGCATTTTTAAGTTTCCAAATCCTTCTGGTGATTTCATAATTCCCTGGAATTCAACTTTGGTGAAGGTAGGGCAGATGCCCAGAGCTAGGATGGGTCCCTTTAAGTTCTTTAGTTTCGTGGAATATAGGGATGATTTCTTACCTACTGTTTCTCAATGCTGGACCTCTCAGGCTGCTGGTAAGTTGCAATTTCAAGTGTGTCACAGGCTTAGGCTAATAAAACTGAACTCAGAAGAGGAGTGAGGTCCATGTTGGGAATGTCTCAGTTACGTCTAGGGAAGCTAAAGGAACCCTTGCGGTTTGTCAACATGAGCTGCACTTGGACCCCTTGAATAGAAATCTCAGAGCTCATGTTTACTTTAGATGCATTAATTAGAGGAATTGTTCTAGGATCACGTCCATTGGAATATCTGTTGCCAACATTATGGAAGAGTATGAGGATATCAAGAGTGAAACTTTATCTCTCTATAAAAGCTACAAGTGCAACGAAGAACACCTCATTTCAAATAGGCTTTCCCATATCAGAAACTTTATTAAAAATTTCGATTTCAGATAGTCAAGCTAATGCTATGTGTATTGAGGTGGCTCTTGACGAGATTCAAGTTCGTATTTCTTTGAATCCCAACAAGGCTCTGGATCCAGATGGTTTAAATGGTCATTTCCTTAGGAAAGCATGATGTATCATTGGTGCAGATGTTACTCAACTGTTACGGAGTTCTTTTTGTATGAGTCAGCTTGTCAAGGAAATAAACTTCACCAATGTGCCCTTGTTCCTAAACTCCCCAACCTTTCCAAGGTGAGTGAATCTAGGCCTATCTCCTCCAGCAACACCCTACATAAAATTATTTCCAAACTCATCGCTAATAGAATCAAGGCTGTTCTTCCGGATATCATTAGAGTCATGACTCATCCCAATCTACGTCTGTTGCTGGCTATAATTGCTGGCTATAATTCCTAACAGTCATGATGCAATGGATCCAAGCCTGCATTACCTATGAGTCCTCTCTTAAAGTCAATGGTGAGTTAGCGGGATTTTTTTTTTCCTAGCAAGAGGTGGCTGTCTCACTTATTCTTCAAAAGAATCTCCACACTAAACCCCTCTTTCAAATTCCAGAGGAAGTGTAGTAAGCTTAGACTCGCACATATTTGTTTTTCTGATGATCTCATCATCTGTCATGGGGACCTTTACCCTGCTTCTGTTTCAATGAGTTCTCTTGATGATTTCCAATCTCTCTCGACCCTAACAGATAATATTAGTAAAAGGCAACACCTAAGGCTCCTATTCTTCAATTCTTTTGCTATTCTCTGCGACACACTCCTATCCAGTACCATGGGAGTCCTGTTATTATTTCCATGATAAGTTTTCAAGATTGCTCTAACATCATTGACAGGATAGAAGTGGAAATGAAGTCTTGGGTTCAGAATGTTAGAATTTGAGTATCCAACACAAAACCAGTTGGCAATTGGTGGAGAGACCCAAGATCATTTAAACTACTCTCAATGCTTCCATTTCCCATGTGGGACATAAAAGGTGTGCTTCATTGCGAGGTCCAAGGGTTATGGAAATGGTGATGTTTGATTGAGAGTGGAAGACAAGTCCTCAAACACTCTTTGTGAAAGTTGTCTTTTGGGGGTGGAAGACAAGAATTTTGTGGAATTGTAGCTGTTTTTTGGGTAATTTGGTGGGAGAGAAATAGAAGAAATTTTTAGAATCATAGTGGCAATGAAGAGGAGAGCTCTTGTGTAAAATTCAGGGCATCCTTGTAGACTTCACTGTCTCCAGATTTTAGGGATCTTTCACTTTCTGTAATTTTATAAGATTGGGGAGCTTCTGTAGGGGAGTTTATAGAGTTTTGATTATGAAGTCAGAGTATATTTGTTTTGCTTTTTATGAGTTGTATTAAAATGTTGGTGGACCTCTTGTTCATCAAATCTTTGTGCCATGTTTTATGATTATTACTAATAACATTTTGTTTAACCTCAAAGAAGAATACAATAACAGAGCTTTATTTCTCCTTTATTAGGAGATCCTTCGCTCATCACTACCTTCCCACAAACAATCCCTTATTAATTTGTCAATCGTCCTAACACCCTAATAGGCAATCCAATAAAAGGCATGATCCCAAAAATTTACGGCACGCAAATTACCCCATAAGGGGAGGTCCATACAATTCAAAATCAGAAAACACGAGAAAATCTATTTCAAGATATTTTTTTAAAAACGAAGGAAAAAGCAAAGTTATTGCGGGTACTTACACAGGTAAACAGTATGAAATGCTTGAAGCAAGTGTTTAAATGGGCCTCCTCCTTAAGGCTCACAATTTTCTGGAAATGAGAGTGATATATGTGGGCATATACACGGAAAAGTCTTTTGAATATTGTCTTCACAACCTCCCTGAAATTGGGGGGAAATGGTGCGCCTGAAAAACAAGCGAAGGGAACACATATTGGGTCAATGAATTATAATAATCAGATGAAAGGCACAACATGATGAAAAAGAAAATATAATAATAAACATTACCTAGCTTTTGGGGAAATATGGATTCATCATCAAGTTGAGATTCAATCCAGTCCATCAGATATTCAACATATTTTGGAGCCGAGACCTCTATAGGTTTCTTAATTAGTACACCATCTGCCCATCTATACTCATACCTGTAGATTGTTTACAAACAAAAGCCAAAAAAATAATTATTAACAAAAGAAGCTGGGTTAGACAAAAGGTTGTACTAGGCATATAGGGATTCGGTTAATCAATAAAGCTTTCCAATCCATCAGGTAAAAAGAGAAATTGTGTGGTGTTTTGCTGAAAAATTCTCAAAATGATTTTATATAACAGAGACTGAAAATTAACTCTAAAACTGTAGGCACAGTTGGTTACTGGAGAATCCACATCTCGAATAGCCAGAATGGAATTCTTATCTGTAATGGTGTAGGAAGCAAGTACAGGGGTTTGTAGGGCTGAGAAAGGTGGAAAATCCTGAAAAGGGGAAGTTGAAGCATAAGAAGTTCCACATACTGTTTAAAGGAGTAGGTTGGTTGTCCATGGGAGCGAGGAAGTCGGGCATGGTGGGGCAGGGTGGTGAAAGGTGTAGATATATGAGAAGCTTCATTTCATTCTATCTTATCTACAAATATATTGAATATTTACTCTTTTAGTAGTATTAATTAATTGTAAGAAAAAACATGTCAGTACCAGAGACTCAAAGTAATAGTTGAATTAATAGTCTGTCCTTACGCGAACAGCTTGCAGCAAACTGAATCCATTACTATTAACTATTTAACATCTTGTACATTAAATATCCGAATTCATTAATATTGATATGCTTTAAGAAAGGCACTGAAGAACACAAAGGTACAAAAGCTCAAACAATGAAATGTCAAACAATAACGTGTCCATAAACTAATCATTTAAGAAAAAAAGAACAATAAAGTAACAAATATACTGACATACATAATTTAAATAAATAAAAAAGATATAATCCCATACTTGGGGCCTGCAGTCATCGTAGGACAATTCTCTGGAGTACAGAACTCTGTGAGAGTACCATATAACAAGTTGACCTGATTGAAGAAATCCACAGCTGAAATTAAAAGAGCAACAACCAAATTTCAGATATAGATCACCATAGAAGAGATTACATTAAATAAGAAATTGAAAGGAGACATTTTGTGATGTGAGTGTGTGTGTGTGTGTGTGTGTGAGAGAGAGAGAGAGAGAGAACTGTTGACAGCAAGCCATTCATTCAAATCTTCTCCTGTTGGAAGTTTTACTGCTTCTCTTAGGTTCCCGCTACCTAGTGTAGCATCAATGTGCTTTCTAAGCTGAGCCCCCTGCATCGCACAAGAACAAAAATTAATGAAGAAACTCAGTTCTACCTATATATTTGTAGTATAAAATCCAAAAACCTCTTTCCATTCTTTACATTTTTGGATTTTCGTCCCGGTAAATTGCACTTCTCATCCTTAAATCATAACTTTATGGATTCTCCTTTTCTGATGCAAATTCAGTTTTTTACACATCTTACCAAGTTTTATTTTTCTCATCCCAAAATTGTCTCCAAAAGCATTTAACAGAGTTAAATCCCAAATCTACAGGATTCAAACCGTACAAATCTCACTATTTTAAATCCACAAATTATGATAGTTTAAAACACTTGGAGAAAATACCAATAGGTATCTAAACAAAAATTTATCCACGACTGCATCTCAATAAGGAAGTCAGATTGACAAAAGAAGAAAATTTGATTTACGAAATATACCCATATAATATGGGTACAAATGAAAACAACGAAACTCAACAAAACTTATGTATGTTGGAAGAAAATGCACCCACATAAGGAAGGGTACGCTTAAAAGACCCATAGATACATACACAAAATTAAGGGAGAAAATAATCATGGGTTCATAAAGAGAGGGAAAAAATTTATCCATGGCAGGGAATTAGAGGGATAGAAAAAGAGAATTTGATTGACAAATGTATCCATAAATATGGGTAAAAACCACAACAAGAAAATTCAATGAAACTTATATATGTTGAGAAATGCACGCATATATGTATGGGTACATATAAAACACATGGTACATACATAAGCACACTGACTAGTGACGACTTAATCCAAGCCGTCCAGACCCCACCACCTATATCAAAATCATTTCTGACAACCAATCCAGCATATGCCATCTGTCCAAACGAGCACTTCCATCTCCCAAGTCCCAACCCCCATTGTCAAAGCCTACACATACATACTTCACCCAATCTCTTCTCTCTATCTCTAGTCTGCCACAAACCCTCCTTTCCTCTTCAAATCGTAGATCTCAAACATCTAACAAAACCGCTCCAGAACAAATAAAATCCAAACTTTCACTCATATAAAGAGTGAAAAGGAAGTAAAAACCCACAAGGATTCACATCACAGCAAGCTTTTTACTGCGGCAAACCCTCAGAGGATAAGCTTAAAGCCTACTTCAGAAAATACACCCGAGTTATGCAAAAACAAAGGTTTTGGGTTTGTGGTCCTTGTCGATCCTATTGTTCTTCCTGTTCCTTGTGTTTATTTCCTGCATCCCACATTGAGAAATGATTGTTGTTGCGGCAAGGAGAAGGTGGAGATGTTGTTAGGTGGCTAAAGATAACAAAAGAAAAAAAAAAAAAAAAAAAAGCCCCATGGGTTTTTTTGCGCCTGATCAAATCCCCAAAAGTTCGCCCAAACGGACTCAGCCTATCAAATCTCAAGTCAAAGCACTAAGGTTAATCTAGGAATTGAACAAACAAGTTTTTTTTAACTGAAGATAAAAAGGTGTTGGCATGTCATTTGGTTAGTGCTAAATTACTGACGTGGAGAAAAGTCAAAGGACAAGAATCATAACCGAAAAAGAAACCAAATTCTAATTCAAAGATTAAGCTCGCCAAGATTAGGAACCTAATAATGCTTTGTTTGTCTTTCAAAAAGCTTAGTTAGAGCCCCACATACATGTGCAGTGATGATATATAGAATAAAATAAATAACTCAATAAGTCATTAGCTGGAAGCTGAAACAAGAGAACAAGAAAAAGTGCACTGAGACAGCAGCTCCCCAATCTTCAGCAAATCTAATGTAAAATTACATCAGCAGCATAAGCATTCTCAAAGCTGAGCCACAGAAGCAGGATTATCCTCTAAAGTAGGGTGCTTTAACTATTGCAGTCAATATAACATTAAAATAAAAATGAACACTAAATTTCAAATTTCACTACTAAGAACTGGATATTGCATTTCTAACTTGAACAGAAAACATGGCATGAAAACGCACACAAGCGCATCACCACTGAAAAGTTCAAGCCCAATATATACAACTCTTTGCATGCTCAAACTATCACAAATAAAGATTACCAAAATTACAAGTTAATTAAAGGGAAACAACCTTGCTCCCTGAGGGTGCGCTCTTTTTTGGGCGGAATGTCCTCTGGTTTCTGCATCAATAGTAAACTTAAGTTCTACAAAATTGATAATGACTAAACAATAAATACTAATTTCTAAAGAAGCAAATAAATATGACCTTGCATACATCAACACGCACACACAGGAAAATGAGGCGCAGAGAGAGGGGTTAGAAAGTTGGTGACATATTGAAATTATGGGGTGTTGGTTCTGAGAGCTCATTAAAATTTTAACATCCTCACCCTTTAAGCTTTTCAGTATATAAATAGGTTCCAATTTAATAATTCATTTATCTACAAAGTAATAACTATCAGGAGATTAAATAAACGATAACATGACCATTTGCCTTAAATCTAGCCTCTTCTCACAGCTTTGTACTCTTCTGTTAACTCTACTTAGTCTCAATAAACTAACCAACATTGTGATTTTTTTTTTTTTTTGAGATATATTAATCTAAAACCAGTATAATCCCATATTACAGTAGACAATGAGTCCACTGAAATCAAATCTAAATGCGATAAAAATACAAAAAATTGCATTATGGTTACAGAAACTACCACCTAAAAAAACAGCACCGCCTCCAATCTGAAAATATATTGTAGAAAAAGGAGCATCCTTAGACCGAAGCCCACAAGGAAGACCCAAATCGAACATGGTCATGCAAAACCTCTACACCCTTCGCTCCATAATTGTCAAAAATCCTTCTGTTTATTTACAAGCAACACATCCCAAAACACAGACAAAACATCACATGTCCAGAAAACTTCACCCTTTTTACATCCCCTCAAAAACCTTAACCTTTCAAATAATATTGCAGTACAGGAGATCCCTCTCCAGAACAAACCTAAACAACCATTTCCCGAGTAGCCCCTTATTTTTCATCAACAAATTACCCACCCCTAAACAAGACTTTGCTTTCCTTCTAGATATTACATCTCAACCAAACCAATGCTCCTTATTCCTTTCTCCTTTCCTCAGTACCTTCCCACAAGAAATTCTCATTAACTTTTCTAACTTCTTTGCCACTTTGCAAGAACTCTAAATACGGAAAGATATCAACTGGCAAACTACTCAAAAGAGAATGAAGTAAGAGTAAGCCATACTCCCTGCCCTTCCAAATGAAACCTCCACAGCAATTTCCCAAGTAGCGCCTCAAATTAGCCACCCCAAAACCATCCTTTTCTTCATTCTATATATTACATCCCAACTAATCAAGTGCTCATTGCTTCCTTTCTCAATACCTTCATACAAGGATTTCCTCATTACCTCTTTGAACCTTTCTTACACTTTAATTGGAATTATAAAAGGGAAAGATAATAATTTGGAAAACTTTTCAAACGTATTAAAAGTAGAGTAAGCCTTCCTCCCCTCGGCAAAAACAGCTTCCTTCCATCTGCCACAGCATTCTTTGCATTCTACACATTCATCCCATTTCAATACCAGAGAACAGCAACATATTGAGTAAATAGTTATTATCCGTCAGGTTCCAGACACCAAATCATCATTATGAAAAAGGATGCAAAGAAAAAATAATCACTTCCAAGCAACTGAATGACCCATGTCATGCAAAAACTACCATATTGCTATCCATCTATAATGTTATCCACCGCCAACAATCTTGCCGTTATTATTTTCATGAACTACCAAACCTGGAAAAGAGCTTTTGATTATCAATAGGCATCATTTATCACTATTACTAAAATTTAATAACTAACAAAGAGCGAGACAATTATCAATGGTCATTCGATTTAGTTTCTTTCTTTACACTAATCCTCGCCTACCAAATTCTGCATTTGCATAACACTTACAGTATCATTGTGTTTGAATAACAAAAGATAAAACTGTGGGAGGGGAGAAAAACCCATTAATCAACACAAATAGAGCAAAACAAACCTATCAAAAGTCACCAATTTCATAGATCAAGTGAAAGCGCTCCCAGTATAACATATCAGGCATCAACTGATCAGGAAGGAAAGAAAATGGAAACTTCCAAGCATAGAAGAAAGTTCAATTCTTAAAGATAATAAAGAAATATACACATCAAAAGTTTATACTTGCCTGCCCAGACCGAAGAGACTCATGGCTCGCGAGAGAGAAGGAAGAGGTTTGTGTGTTGTCAATCCTTCGTCTTTCTTTAGCTGCGATCGAGCTGAAAAAGAAAAGGCCCGTACTTTTTGTTGTAAACCAAAACAAAAAACACAGGAAACTGTTTTTTTTTTTTTTTTGGGAAAAACTCCTCTTTGGTCAGTAGGTTTTATAGGAAAATTCAATTTGATCACTTTTATAAAAAACAATTACTCTTTTTTTTTTTACCAAAGTTAGAAAGGGGACGAGTTTTTCTTATACATGTTGTAAGTTAAGTCATAGTGTCATTGGGATTAAAACCTACACTACTGTTTGCAAGTTAAGTCATTTTTAACTTGGCTAGACCAAAAATTTAGCCGATTTGGTCATCTATATATATCAAGCAAAAGGCAGAGAATGGTAAAACATTCAAAATACCAAAAATTGCCCTTGGTTAATGCAAAAATATTAAGAATTGAAATTAGGGAGTTTTACTAAAATACCCAAAATGGGGGCTGAAATTATAAAAATACCCAACACCCAAAACACTTTATAAACATACCCAAAACTCATCATTACACACACTCAAAACTCATTTATAAACATACCCAAAATCCATCATTACACACATACCCAAAACCCATTTTGGGTATGTTTCTATGTTTAAATAGTGCTTGGGTATTTTTATAAATACATGTCTAGGATTGGGTATTTTTATAAATATCTATTGAAGATATTAATTAAATGAGGATAATATGGTAAATTCACACTTTTTCATATTAAAAAAAATTAAAATTAAAATTAAAAAAAAATCAAATAATGGATCCTATTTTTATGGAACACAACTACCCATTATCTTTTTTAATTCTAAAATAAATTTTAATTTTAAAAAAAAAAAAAAAAAAAAAACCTCTCACAGGCGCGAAAACACGTGCGGAGAGGCTAGTTGTCATTTACAAAGTTTGCAATTTATAAACATTCTATCTAAGTGCAGTTAAAAATAAATAAATGTAATTTAAAATTCATAAAAGATATCTATATATATAAAGCAAAAGGCAGAGAATGGTAAAACATTCAAAATACCAGAAAATGCCCTGAGTTAATGCAAATATTAAGAATTGAAATTATTAATTAAATGAGGATAATATGGTAAATTCACACTTTTTCATATTAAAAAAAATTAAAATTAAAAGAAAAATCAGATAATGGATTCTATTTTCATGGAACACAACTACCCATTATCTTTTTTAATTCTAAAATAAATTTTTAAATTTTTAAAAATAGCCTCTCACATGCGCGAAGGATATTTAGTTAAAAATAAATAAATGTAATTTAAAATTCATAAAAGATAAATAATTATATAGAAAAGGTTCATCTTCACTTATTTATGAAGGATACAAGAATACAATATTTAAACAGGGATGTCTAATGTAACAGTCCTATACTAATTACAGAGTAAATTACAAATTAATCTCATAATTGAAAGCTGTTACAAATTATATTGAATTGACTCATTGGTTTGGTGGTAACTGATGTAACTCCCTAACACTCCCCCACAAACTTGACTTTGGGGAGGTGACAAGGTTGGAAACAAGACGATTGAACCAAAACGTGGGTAAACATTTGGTGAAAACTTCAGCCAGTTAGTGTGTTGAGGGAATAAATTGAACTTGGTGACTTCCCATGGCAATGCATTCGCGAACAAAATGATAATCGAGACCAATATGTTTTGTGCGAGAATGAAAGACCAGATTAGTGGCCATGTAAGCAGTAGAAAGATTGTCACAATTAAGAATAACCGGATGAGGGAGAGGATACCGAAGTTCACGTAAATGGCCTTGAATCCAAATAGTATCAGAACATGCATAAGCTAGAGCACGGTATTCGGCTTCAGCATCGAGAGACTATACGTGGTTTCTTGGCACTCCATGAAATGAGATTGGGTCCCAAAAAGATACATACCCTGTAGTCGATCGACGAGTGTCTGGACACCCTGCCCAATCGGCATCCGAGTATGCAATAAGAAGAGAAGAATCATGGGAACGACAAAGGGATAAACCATGCCCAAGAGTTCCTTTAAGGTAACGAAGTATACGTTTCACAGCCTCCAAATGTGTATCACTGGGAGAACTCATGAATTGAGAAACATGTTGAACTGCGTAGGCTATATTGGGGCGAGTTATGGTGAGATACTGAAGAGCACCCATGAGGTGGCGATATGGAGTTAGATCAGCAAGAGGAGACCCATCAGTGCGAGAAGTAAAGGTTTGGGAAGCCATGGGGACTGAGACTGGTTTACAGTCTAGAAGATTACTTTTTCGGAGAAGATCGAGTGTATATTTATTTTGTGTAAGGTGAACAAAATCTTTGATATGTGAGACTTCGATGCCAAGAAAGTAATTAAGCCTACCAAGATCTTTAACCTCAAATTCAATACGAAGAGCATGAATAAAAGTGGAGAGTTGAGAGGGATTACTGCCCGTAAACACAATATCATCAACGTAGAGGAGCAAAATCAGGACATGTGAGCCATCACGATACACAAAGGATGAATTAGATCGACTTTGGATGAAACCAACCCGAAGTAGAAAAGCGCTAAACCTCTGAAACCAAGCGAGGGGGCTTGCTTGAGACCATATATTGTTTATGGAGTTTGCGAACATGAGTGGGCCGAAGAGGATCAGTGAAGCCAGCAGGTTGTTGCATAAACATCACCTCGGAGAGATAACTGTGCAGAAAAGCATTTTTAACGTCGAGTTGCCGTATTCCCCACCCACAAGAAATAGCAATGCTTAGAATGGTGCGAATAGTGATCGGATTGACCACTGGACTGAAAGTGTCAAAATAATCGATCTCGGACTGCTGATGAAACCCTTGGCGACAAGACATGCTTTATATGGTTCAATCGATCCATCATAGCGTCGTTTGATCTTGAATACCCATTTGCAACCAATTGTGTTTTGATGGGAAGAAGAGGGGACAAGTGACCATGTTCCTTGGTGAAGAAGAGCATTGAACTCGTCTAAAATGGCATGCTGCCAATAGGAAGACTTGGACGCTTGTGTGTAACAAGTGGGTTCAATCTCAGACTCAACTGCGGCCATGAGAGCCTGTGGAATTGGATAGTGAGAAGAGAAGTTGGACTGAAATTTCGGGTTGGGTTTGAAGATGCCAGAGCGAGAGAACTTATGTAAAATGCCTTTCTGTGCACAAAAATGCTTGAACATCAAATTATCAAATTCTTTGCCGCCATCACTTTGGAACTATTTAATAGATGATGAAAATTGAGTTTGCAAATAAGTCACAAAGTTAGAGAAATGAGGGAAAACTTTGAATTTCTGGCACATGGGAAAAAGCAATGTGTAACGAGTATCATCATTCGTAAAAAAAACATAATATCGGAAGCCAGAGACAGATATAGTATGGGAAATCCAACCATACTATAAAATTTTAGCACATCCCCAGAAAAATTCATGTAACCGCGAAATTGCAGTATCCACTCCCCAACTCTGACAAAAAAAAATCATCTCTACAATAACCACAATTATTTGAAAATAATTGCTTTTTACATACTAGTATCTGAACTGTTGAAATAAATAATCCAACGGATTAGAGCAAAATCAGGAACTAATTAGATTGGTGGAAATTGGAATTTTATAAAATTGAAAATTGATTCTCCTGAATCAGTAAAATAGATAATTACCATAAACATACTTATGCTAAATGGATGGTGGGTCGTTGGAAATCCTCTTCTTTTCTTTTTGTTGTTAAAAACGTTCATTCAGACCAACCCTAAACCCTTTGTCCTATAAATCCTAAAGCCCTAAACCCCACCCCCTCCAAAGAAAAAGACATACATGGCCAGCCCCCTCAATTTCCCCTAGATGTCGTATGCCCTTATCAATTTCCCCCTCCGATTACCCCTTCTATGACACACCCACTCTCTCCCGCTCACACTGCGGCATGCGGCTCCGATTACCCCTCCCGCTCACGGCTCCTCTCTCTCTCTCCAGCTCACGGCTCCTCTCTCTCTCTCTCTCTCCCCTGAGCACTAACACCCCACCCCATCCCCCCAAAAAATACAGAGGTCCATGGCCGTGAAACTTACAGTGCGTTTGGATGAGGAAATTTAAATGTACAAAGGATTTCATAAATGACGGAAATTAATGTTCTAGAATTTGTAAAGTTTCTTCTTCGGGTGATGGCTTTAAAACACGGAATTTAACATTTATTTGTAAAGTTATCTGTTTTTAAAACTCAATCTCTCTTTGGATTTTAGAAATGACGACTTTGAGATAGAATTTAAAGTTGAGATTTATGATCTCCAAATTCCATGTTTTTTCCCACGCGGAATTTCTAAATTTCTATATTTTTTTATCCAAACACGAGAATTGGTTCATGACAATTTAGAAATTCTGACTTTTGTCAAAATCCCAAGTTTATTTCCCTCATCCAAACGCACCATTAGGCTTCTGGACAGGCCAGGATTGGGTGAGTTAGGGAAGGCATGTTAAGTAAGAGCCGACCACTTCTTGGTGGAGATTGAGGAAAGACACCTCTATCTCTACGATGTAAGCATATTTATTATTATTATTTCCATTTTGTATTTTGTTTGGATAAGCTTTCCGTTTTTTCTCCATTATTAACTCAATTTTTTTTTATAAAATTTTTAGATTTGATATCTTGGCTTTTTTTGTGTGGATTTTTTCAAAAAATTATTATTGTTATCGTTTTGTCGTTGTGGGTGGTAATTTCATAAGGTGGCGTTAGGTGTCATTTACCCCTGAAGTGTATTTCGAAAAAGACCAACAGAGATGCGATTGAACACCTTTTTAATGAGTCACACCTTGGCCAGAAACGGCCAGCTTATGATGGTATGAGACGCATGTATACAGCAGGTCCACTGCCATTTGTATCTAAAGAGTTTATCAATTGGTTGTGGAAGACGATTCAAAGAGAGAGTTTAAGGTGGCTATCAAATTGGCCAACAAACCCTACCTTTTTCTAATACAAGGGTTCTTACGGAGCAAGCAAGATGACTTGTCTGAAGAGGTGATACACGTTCTTAACGTTGTTCTTAGGGGCAAACCATCCGACAGGTATTATTCTCTATTTGTTTGGAATAGTATAATTTATGTTATCTTTGTAAGTTTGAGTGTTGTATTTTCTATCATAGGTGCACTGTCATTGGGAGGTCTTTATTTTCACCTGAAGAGACAAGAGCACTTGGTAATGGTGTTGAATATTGGAGAGGATTTTACCAGAGTTTAAGGCCAACACAGTTCGGGCTTTCCCTCAATATAGGTTTTGTATTCCCCTAATTTCCTCTGTTTTGAGAATCCTACTAAGCCAAATAACGAAATGCCTTGCATGACATTTTAATTCATATGTTGCAGATGTATTAGCCAGACCTTTTTATAAACCCGTTCTGGCGAGTAAATTTGTTGATCAATATTTTGACTACTCGATTATGGATAGGGTTCTTGGTGATATTGGGTATTCGGAGGTATTCACGATTCTCTTTTAATCCATGGTATGTAGTTTTTACAAGCAAATTCGCCAGAAGTGGATTAATATAAGTAAAAGACACCTCATTGCAATCTTTTTACTGTGACATTCTTCTACTTACAGGTGACAAAAGCCTTGAAGGGGCTCAAGGTTGCACTTACTTATAGGGATAATAAAGCTTATAGGATCACTGGATTGTCCACAAAATCACTGAGCCAACTAATGTGAGTCTTGAAGTAAGTTATGCTTATTCTAAATTTGTATGTGTATATTTAAATATGTGCTGCTTGATTCATAACTTATTATTCAAATTTGCAATTTAGGTTTACTTTAAAAGACAAAAAAACTAGAACTTCAGTAGTTCAATGTTATCATGAGAGGTACAATATTGTACTAAAAGATGTGGGTCTGCCTGCCTTACAAGTTGGGAGCAATTTGGAACCCATTTATTTACCTATGGAGGTACCTTTCTTGACCTTTTAAGCATTTATTTTTCAGTTTGATTCTCTTTTAAGCATGGTACTAGTATTTAGGAAATGATTTAATTTTTTTCCTTTTTGCAAGCTTTACAAAGGTACTCGAGGAACCTCAATGACAGACAAGTCATAGAGTTACTAAGAGCAACTTGTCAATGTCCTCAAGAGCGAGAGTTCAACATAATGCAAGTCTATATGTGCTTTTTATTTTGACAATGAATGTATTTCTTAATTCATAATTGAGTTTTTATCTTAGTTTTTGGAATCATGTTGCTGCATTTATGCATATGCTTAGGAAAAATAATTCAACTAGAGGTGGTTTCATGGATGATGTATTTGGAATGCAAGTGAGAGAAGAAATGGCTTTGGTTCATGCTCGAGTTTTGCCTCCTCCATTGGTAATCATTTGTCTCCATTTTTATTCAAGCACTACAATCATCATTGAACTTGTCTATGTACTGATGTTTGTATTGAGGGGCATAGCTAAAATACCATGGTTTGGTACAAAAATAAATTTTTTTTTCGCTTGGTGTTGCACGTTGCTTGGCGTGTTTGTGCTCGAGCTTTCCCGTATTGCAGTGGGCTATAGCCGGGCTAAACTGTGCTTGACGGGACAGTAAGCATGGGTTCATAGAACTAGTACATTTTATAGACTTATTATGACCTCTCTGCATGGTGGGTTGCGTGTTTGCTTGGCGTGGCATGTAGACCATAACTTGCGCAAGAGCATACGACAAATTCTTGCATATCTAGGTCAAGCTTCTTTCCTGATTAAGTGTTGTGTTAGGCCATAAATATATTTGGGCCCAGCCTTGGATTTTTTGGGCCTCAACAATGTGTTAGTAAAGTTAAGTTAGTTGTTATATTATTTTCATTCAAATCAATTATTCAAAGGGAAATTCTATTGACACCCCATTTTTTGCTCTTTACACCCCATAATAATTTTAAACATGAATAATCTATTTTACCCTTGTACATAATTACCGTTAAGGACAAGAAAATTAAAAATTAAAAATAAAATTACTCACTACACCCCACATATGTTCATACAACCCTAGGTTGACTTTTTTCTCAAACCATCGTGTTCCTACAACTTTAATGAGATTTATACGTTTATATTGGTGAAAAAATATCTTGCATTTATTCATGAAGGGTGAGATTGAAGTTAGAGAGGCTTCGAATGAGGTATGAGTTTATTTTTTGACGTTTTGCAAGTTTAGAGTTTAGGGTTGGTAGCTGGTTGCGTTCAGCACATCAGTACCGAACGCGATAGTTAAATTCGGTTAGATGCCACCGAAACTTTGCACCTAATTCGGTCGTGTTTGACCGATCATCAACTTAATATTCGGTGGAGATCCACTATAATATGAAATGTTGTTCAGTGGTTTATTACCGAAATTTTACCTACGTTTCAGTGGCAACAAACCGAAATTGATTTATTTTTTCAGTAACTTATTGTCGACCACAAATTTAATGCAAGCTATTTTGATCTTACTCCTATTGAAGGAACAAAAACAAGGTGACGCCCCTACTGAAGGCAACAATATGGGAACAGAATGTGTAATGGACTATAGTGATTAATTCACAACTTATTCGGTAATTATGTTGAGTTTTTTTTTTTTTTTTTGTTGAAATCATTTTTAGTATCATTAATGTGGCATTAATGTTTCAAATTTTCTCTTTAAATAACATGAGTTGTATGTGTAGATATTCAATGGTAGAGATGCATTACTTAGATGAGCTCGTGCACAAGGAAAAATGAATAATATTGTCATTGTAATTAAAAGGTCTGATTATGGAGGTGAGGGCAAGAGAAGACCTCGAGTAATACTTGCTTGTGAGAGGAGCGGTAACTATAAGTCTTGCAAGTCTAGTGAGACAACTGATATAAGGTCGGATGTAAATAGTGATATGAAAACATGTGCTAGGGACACTGGTGCCAAGAAATGTGGATGCCCATTCTTGTTAAAATGTGTCAATATTGGCGATAGGGATGATTGGAAGTTGGAAGTGGTTTGTGGAGTACACAACCATCCTATTTCAGAGTATCTTCAAGGTCATTCATTTGTGGGGCGACTTTCTCAAGAGGAGAATGCCTTGTTGGTGGACATGTCTAAGAGTTTAGTGAAACCTAGAGATATTTTGGTCACCCTAAAGGATAGAGATGCAATGAATGTTTCAACTATGACTTGTTTTGGACACACCCCATTAATATTGAGATTTTGCGTGCATTTCTACATGTACTTATCATGGATTGCACCTATAAGACTAATAGGTATCGTTTCCCACTATTGCAAATTGTGGGGGTGACATCTACTAATATGATATTCTCTGTTGCGTATGTTTATATGAATGCCGAGAAGGAAGACAATTACACATGGGCTTTGACTGCATTGAGGAGTTTGTTGGATGATAATTGTCTTCCTAGTGTTATTGTCACCGATCGAGAGTTAGCATTCATGAATTCTATTACGTCTATATTTCCGAAAGCACGACATTTATTATGTAGATGGCATATTAACAAAGGAGTGTTGGCAAACTGCAAGAAGTTATTTGGGACCCTCAAACAATGGAAGCAATTTAATGAGGATTAGAATACTTTGGTTGGTTCAGAAACGGAGGAGGAATATTGGCGTTGTTTGCGACAGATTGAGTCTAAGTTCAGTGAATTTCAAAAAGCTCTTGAATACATACATTACAATTGGTTAAATCCATTTAAAGATAGGTTTGTGGCTGCATGGACAGACACTTGTATGCATCTTGGCTCGACGACTTCAAATAGGTAAGTATTTTAGTCAACTTTTGATATGTTAATTTGAAAATTTATTTTGCTTCAGGTAAATTTATTATTGTTATCAACAGAGCAGAAAGTGCACATGCAAAGTTGAAGCGACAACTCCGCTCGAGCCAACTTAACTTTGAGAGATCATGGGTAACTATTCACTAATTGTTAGAGCTGGAGCACACAGAGATTAAGGCATCTTTTGAAAAGAGTCTATGTTTTATTCAACATAGGTTCAGGCATCCGGAGTTAAGAGAGTTAGTAGGTTTTGTTTCTATAAAGGCTTTGAGTGTAATTGTGTGCGAGTTAGAAAGGTAAATTCAATTTACTTATTGCATGTACATATATGGTTTACATAGTTAACATTGTAATTTTTTTGCAAACAGGTTAGAGATAGATGGGGTGGATACTTTATCATGTGGTTGTACTATTCGTCGAACCCACCAATTACCATATGCACATGAAATTGCGGAGTATAGAGATCGTGATGTACCAATCCCACTTGATGTTGTGCATTCACATTGGAGAAAATTAGATCTCATCAATATACGAAACAGTAGTCATGGCACAACTTCACCAGGAAGGTCACAATTACAAAGATTCAATATCTGGAATGAACAACAAGATGATGAAAAGAAGAGACAAGTTCACATGACATTAAAGGAGCTAATGAACCCTGGTTCTACTGCACTTACTGAACCAAAAGGGAGACCGCGAAAAGTCGACACTTCTACTTGTCGTTTGCCATCTGCATTTGAGATTGCTGAGGCCTCCACTGCTCTCCCTAAAAATAAACCAAAGCAAAGCCTCACTGCCTCACTAAAAATAAAACCGAAGAAGAGTACCACTACAGTGCCAAAGAAAAGAAACAGCTCCATAATGAAAAAGTGAAAGTCATAAAAAATTAACAATTTTACCTGATAATATCTGCTTTGCATTGAGGCAAATGGGTCAAATGCAGCTCCATAATTAGGATTCTAGATAAACGGATATCCCACGTTAATGTACCACTCCAAGTACCCATGCACAGTATCTGATGGTCTCCTCACTGGTACACTACGGTTCGCCTCTCCCAACATGTGGTTCTCCCGATTGTCCCACCCGAAGTAAGAATTATAGGAATTAGCACGACTACAAGTTCTGGTTGGGGCACTTATTCTGGGAGGAATCGTTTGCACTCGACCAAACTGCCTAAGAACTTGCTCAAGATGGTAAGGCTCAATAACATCACAACATCTGAGCATCCCTGAGTAGAATGCAACATTTGGAAAATGGGTGGTGTTCCCTTTCAAACTTGTAAGGTTCTCATATAACCTGAAATTTGATACATAATATAGCATGAACTACGAGGAAATACATTATTGAACCAAAACATATATATATATATATTTATATATATATATATATATATATATATATAATACAAAACACAACACACCTTATTAGCATTCAAAGCGTCAAGCTGCTGTCTATACTTCTGCACGTCTACCGATGTTGTGCCATTGTCTCGACATGGAATCCAACGAAGTGCACGAGGCTGGACCTCTAAATAATCAAGGTCATGATCAGGGACAACAACACCATACATGTGCTAATACACCCAAGCCTCCAGTAAAGTCATGTACCCAGCAATTTGCTTCACCTTAGACCTCGAAGCTTGGCCTAATTGCCTATACAACCATGCTAAACACCCAGACTCCCATGAATAACCAGCAACACTATCAAGGTCTCTAAATAGTCTAAGGTACACAATTTAGACCATCGTGCCAGCCTTGTCAACAAACAAAGTACAGCCCAAGAGATATAGCAAATATGCTCTAGCTGAATACATGATGTACTCCTCTGAATCTGTGTCTGAAACATTGGAGAATCACGCTCGTAACCATGGCAAACTCACATACTCATCACTGTATTGTTGCAATTGTTCAATAGCTTCTTCATCAGTCACTCCTAAGTAATTAACTAGCAACTCGAAATTTGTGTCATTATCATCTTCAAGCGGAGCAACCGCTGCACCAGACACAAGAATGCTTAAAATAGATGACACATCATCCAATGTGATGGTCATATTACCAAAAGGCATGTGAAAGGTGTTCGTTTCGGGATGCCACCTCTCAACGAATGTAGATACCACAATCTTATCTGCATTCCGATAAGAACACCTAATAAGTTGCTCTAATCCAGACCTCTGAATGTACCCTTTGAATATACCATTATTTGGATTACCCCACCAATTCCACTCACGAAGGGTAGATGTCTTCGACATGCACCTAAGGAGCTCACGTTCCTAGTTAAATACAAAAATAAAAAAAGTTAATTACCATGAACCAGACTTATATTCTACGTTCTATTGTCACAGTAAAACGACTTACTTGGTTATTGCAAATTGCAGCTGCTACGTGAGTTTTAAAACTCGTAAGTAAACATGGATCAATGGGACCTACTCGAGATGGCTCAGTAGGCTCAGCATGTACCTCAATATTACTATCATGAGTAGCAGATACATCTTCAACCTCTGTAGTATCCTCAAAGTGATCTTGGGGAGCCGCTCTCTGTCTCCTCGTTGAGGCTGTAGGACACTGTCTATCAGGTCGAGATGATGAAGCCTCAGTAGTACCTCTGCGAGTCCTCTTCATATCTAAAAAAACAGTATTAAGTACACACTCAGTAACAGATTCGGTATATGATCACTGAAAAGTGGAAACAAATTCAGTGGACTATCACTGAAAAAAGAAAACATATTCAGTGGAGTACTACTGAAAAATTGAATTACATTCGGTGGGTATCACCTGAACAATATAAATAAATTCGGTGGACTACCACCGAAAAAAGGTAACGAGTTCGGTGGCAACCCACCGAAAGTAAGATTAATTTTAGTGGTTCAAATTTGGTGGACTACCTCTGAAACAATGTAACCAATTCGGTGGTAATCCACCGAAACTAAAATCCCATTTCGTAAAACCAGGTTCGAACAAACCATACAATAAGAGTTCAAAATCAGACTTTGTGAAATCAAAATCAAACATAGGCTTCATCAACACTTAGAAACTTAAATATAGAAATCAAAATTGAAATCATACCTTTAATCTTCGAAGGATTTGTGGAAACTTGACAGAGTGGTTTGCAGAGATGCGATGGAGTGGTGGTTTGCAGAGATGCGATGGAGATCGGTGGTTTGCAGAGATTGGGTGCGATGGGTCTGTTTCAAAAAGAAGGGAATTTTCGATGGGGTGTGTCTGCAAGAAGAAGGAAGTTTCGATGGGGTGGGGCTTGATATGGGATGGGGTGGGGTTTGATATTAGATGGGGTGTATCTGAAGTGAAAGGGAATTTTCGGTGGGGGTGGTTTGATATGGGATGGGGTTTACAAAGAGAGTGAGGGAATGGGGTTCATGAGGGCATTTTAGGAAAAAAGAAAAAAAGAAAAAAGGGGGGTATAGTGAGTAATTCGAAATTTTTTAAAAATTTAGTGGGAGGGTGTATAAAAATTAAGGGGTGTAGAGAGCAAAAAATGGGGTTCATATAGAATTACCCTACAAAAACCCCATTTGTGTTTATGTGTGTAAGTTAAGTATTTAAATTCCATTTTATTTGCTTTTAAGTGTTTGTTAAGTTAAATTAGGTTTAGTTATTTCGAAGTTAAGAACTCAATCCTTGTAGGAATGACCTCGTGCGTACCTTGCTAAATTACAATTGACCTTGTGCACTTGCGAGTATAATTTGTGTTTAGATTAATCTCTGTTTTGCACATATCCAAAATTCACAACAATTATAATTATTAATAAGGCTAATTGTTAGTTAGATATAGGGTTTTATTTTTCGTAATATTTTTATTTGATGTCTCTCCTTCGCTAATAGGGAGAATTGTATAGAGGAATACAATTCACATTCGATTTAGAAGAAATCATTATTACCCACGGCCTCGCTAATTAGGACCTATAAGATCGCACATTGAAAAGGTATAAATCGAGAATTAAAAAGAGAATAAATGATTTTGTGGCTTTTTCAAAGTCAAAGTCATAGTCAAAGTCAAAATCAAGGTCAAAGTCAAAGGTCAAAATGTTGACTCAAGACTTGACGTGGGCAACATAAGGTTGACTAGGACCAATGCTTGTTAGACAAGTTAGTGATTTAATTTGTTAAGTCATTCAATCAATTAAACTAATTAGATTAGCTTAATGAGTTAATTAATGTTATGGAACTTTAGTTATGGTCCTACATGACTTAAACATTTATAGAAATGGACCATATAGACTTAGGTAAAATGTGACACATTATGAGATTATTGTTGTAGACCAAAGTAGCCCAAATAGAGGCCAAGACTAAGGGGTGCGGCACATGTGGTGTGGGTCACATAAGTGTGACAAAATGTGGTTATATAAAAAGAATGCCATAGCTCTACACCTCCTTAGGGTTTCAAGTGGGACATTTTGGAAGAGAAGGGAAATCAAACCTCTCTCTAAGCTCTCTCTTGGCCGGCTACTTGGGAAGAAGAGGCTAGCACCATTTTCTCTCCAAGCTTTCTTATTCTCTTATTCTCCTCCATCATTGGTAAAGATTCTTTGGGGAGGTACAACTCTATTGTGTCTATTTGGAGAGTAAAGTGGAGAATCAACATCAAAGGGACCAAACCCTTTACTTGAACACCATCCTTGGTTTCAAGATTCGCTCCAAGGGTATGTCTTTTTTCTACCATCTCGTTAATATTTGATTTTCGTGTCAATGGTGCAAGTTTTCATAAGCCTAGAAAGATTGGGATCTAAAATGAGACTTGTATGAATCTCTAACTTTTATTCTTGCTTCCGCTTCATTTGATTTCATATTAGATATGTTTATGCTAAATGATTTGTTTTCTTATAGCTTCATGGGATTTTAGAAATCTCTACACCAATAATTCCCTTCAATTCAATCTAGGACATTGATCGATTCTAGGATTAGATCAGAACAGTGGATCAAATCAAAAACTTCTGATTTGATATGGGCCTTCATATAGGTAGGTAGGAATGCATCTAGAACATCCATCTCAAACCTACTATGCACCTCCCCATATTTAACCGAAAACTAATCCGAGCCTTTGAATTAAATATTTGAATTAATCCAAACCGTTCGAGTATTCTATAAATACCCCTCTCCTCCTTCATTTTCCTCACACCCAAACTCTCCAAAACCTTCAAACCTTTGTTCCTTTCTTTCTCCTCCACCATAACCACCCACATTTCCTGGAATCACTATTCATCTCGGATACTATTCACACCCCATTCTTATTTATATTTGATATTCTGCCCAATTTAAAATTGTTACATTCAGTTAATTCTATTTTCTTAATTAGGTAATTTTTCAAGTTATTCTTAAAACTGGACCCTTATGTCGTTAGTCTACCCGTTTGAATTCTAATCAAAATAATCTTATGGGCCTATATTCACCATTTTCCTTTGACCGTTATTACCGGACCCCATTATACCTATTTCCACTGGTTCAAATGTATGAACAACATAGAACTATTTGGACATAAATTTTACCGTATCGTGAAACTGACCGTTTTTGGACCAGGGATGGAACTTCAAGGGCTGTTTTTGGACTTTTCAGAACATACAAGGACCATATTGCAATTACATGAGACTTCAAGGACCTATTGACAATTATTGAACAATATGAGGACTAAATTATAATTTGAACAAAGTTGAATGACCAAAGTGCAATTCAAAATAAATATAAGGACCATAGTGCAAATAAACACAAGTATAAGGACTTAAATGATAATAATGGATTTTAAGTAACATTTTTGGATGTTGGACTAGGACTCAGTTTCCTAAGCAAGGCAAGTTTGAACTCGAAGGCGCAGAAGGCAAGTCACGCTTGAGCTTTGGATTCTAGGTTGGGGACTCACTTCTG